AAAAATGAAGTGCTGTAAATGCAAATTGACTTGAGCTTCTTCAAATTTGTATTTACTTCAAAGAAAAATACAGCATCGTACTTTTTCATTAGATTAAGAGGGTCTATATTTGCTAATAAATAAAATACCCTAAACTATAAATAGCCTAGTCCTAAAGCACACACACACAGCACAGTTACATTAGCACTAAAGTGTGGCAGTACATGCCTTCATTAGAATGGCTCTGCTGAATATCTCTACTCACCCACTGACACTAAACACACACACAAGTTCATGAATATCTCTTCAGATGCACATGACCAGAAACGCAAACAGACACATGAGAAAAGATTCAAGGTCTGACTTTTCTTTGTGGAGCTGGCAGCTGGTCAGAGGATGTGTGAAATAAACAGTCTACTGAGAGATGGCATTGTGACCCGCCGCGAGGGGAATGAGGTCATGGTATCAACCTGAAATGTAAACACATGTACACACAAGGCTATATTTGCGTATCAGCCGTTTTAGGGGGGCGTGGCAGAGTCTTAACTTTGATAAAGAATATCTCTTTGGTTTTGAGACTTTAGTCTTGCAACTTCAGGGATCTTATCTATGCACAATCAGCTTGTAACACTGCAAAGAGAAAGGAAAACTTGAAATCGCATCATATGACCCCTTTAACATCCCATTCAAATGTAATTTTACAGTAAAATACAGTAAACTGTTTTTACAGGTAAAAACTTTGAATTACCAGATGATTTGTAGTGGAAAAACTGTAAAAGGACATATTTTTAATAAATATTTTTTTTGTTTTCTTCTTGTTTTTGTTATCTGTAATAGGGTGTTTGTGTTACATTTTCTGTTATTTAGTTAATGTTTATTTCATCATTGTCATGTGTGTTACCCTGATAGCATTTTGTCTCTGAGGTCCTGTGCACTGTCAATACACAAGTATTGGCCATATTTTATGGACAGTCCACGGACGATGAACTTACTTATCATGTGACTTTCTAGTTTGCCTTTATTATGGTGGCTATCTGTATATTTTAAGATAATGTTATAATAAGCAGTGGTGTGATGTAACGAAGTAATAATACTTCGTTACAGTACTTAAGTATTTTTTGGGAGTATCTGTTCTTTACTTGAGTTTTTATATTTCAGTCAACTTTTACTTTTACTCCACTACATTTCCTAATTAAAATGTATACTTTTACTCTGATACATTTCACCGAAGCATATTCGTTACTAACTACAAAATAGTCAGAAAATTCATTTAAGGCATTCGAAATTGTAGACGGCAAAAATGCTTCTGTATGCTTTTTATATTTATATAATTTAACATAGTTAACTTAATCTATATCACACAGATTGAGCTTCTTCAAATTTGTATTTACTTCAAAGAAAAATACAGCATCGTACTTTTTCATTAGATTAAGAGGGTCTATATTTGCTAATAAATAAAATACCCTAAACTATAAATAGCCTAGTCCTAAAGCACACACACACAGCACAGTTACATTAGCACTAAAGTGTGGCAGTACATGCCTTCATTAGAATGGCTCTGCTGAATATCTCTACTCACCCACTGACACTAAACACACACACAAGTTCATGAATATCTCTTCAGATGCACATGACCAGAAACGCAAATAGACACATGAGAAAAGATTCAAGGTCTGACTTTTCTTTGTGGAGCTGGCAGCTGGTCAGAGGATGTGTGAAATAAACAGTCTACTGAGAGATGGCATTGTGACCCGCCGCGAGGGGAATGAGGTCATGGTATCAACCTGAAATGTAAACACATGTACACACAAGGCTATATTTGCGTATCTTTCTTTTTGTGTGTGTGTGTGTGTGTGCTCCTTTGATACAATGAACTCGCAGTCATTTAATAAATGACTGAAGCATTTTTGTAGCATACTAATTACTGACGAGTCCTTGACCGTGTTCTTCGGGACTGTGGAGAGTAGAAACCTCTGTAGTGCTTACAGAAATAACAAAAAGTGTTCCTGTTGTATGAAAGTGATGAATTACTGCACTTCTGTGTGGCCCTACTGAGCAAGCAAAATGTGTTGAAACGAATCAACGTCCGCAGCTGACGCTTTTGCACTCTCTGAGACAACAGACAACCACAATAAGCTGATTACTCATCCTTCATGTGATTGGCCACCAGTTCTTGAAGACTGCTAGGGCATTAGTACAAGTAAACACAAGTAGCTTGATTTATTCACGCCCACATACCAGCGTTCTCTCACAAAGATTTAAGACATTATTTACTGACAAACATCACTAGTAACCACATTCACTTATTAACAAACAAAATGTATCTTTCATATATTGCGCCTCAACAAAAAATAATACTTTTTTAAATGTAGTTTTGAGTAAAATCTAAATCATGTCAACTCATTAGCCTTAAAAAAATAATGTTATATCACTGTCTCTTTCTTTCTCACGCGCGCGCACACACACACACAGGAAACAGATTTGTTGATGTCACAGCACTGGGCATGTCCATAAGGTAGGCTACTACTGACAACACTAGAGGATTACCAAAGCTTGTCTTCGCATCCATTTGTTTCTTTGCTCATTTAGTCCTCCTTTTGTTTTTAAACGGCAGTTGTTGGAAGAACCTCTTATAGAGGACTGAAGATAGGTAAGGTAAGGATTTGAATAAGATACAGGTGCCAAACATTGCGTAATTGTGTCCAAAACTTTACGTGCGCATCGGTGAGCAGTGATAGTACTTAAGTTAATCCTGCTGCGATGTAACAGACCTTTTAAGGTTGTTGTGAATGTATCGTAAGTCTTAAAATTACAATTTGTGAACAAACGATGAGTTGAATTAGAATATGGGTTAAATGTCTGTGTATATAAGAACCAAATGTGTATTTCTGAGTGCCCTTACTGAGCATTGGATGGCCATGGTCGTTAAATGCGCACCAGGTGCACGTGCGTTTGGCGTTTTGTTAGGCGTTTGTCGAGTTCATTCTCGTGGGAAATACCCGTGGGTTGATATGCATTTCTCCGCTTTGCACCGATGATCAGCGGCGGGGAGGCGTGAAAAAGCTCACGCCCAGATATGATAAACGTGACGCTCCAGCAAACGAGCACCATATACACACCCAAAGGCGTTGGCTCTCCAACTTTATTTTTAATTTTCGTCACTTTCAGAATAGCTATTTATTAATTCAGCTCTATTTTCAGTCATCTTGTTTTACTCCAATTTGGAGTTTATAGTCAGTTTTGGTCAGATTTGGACGTGATTTTGTTTTGGTATGTATCCACGAACAGGGTAAAACAGGGCCTTATCAACGCTGTTACAAAATTTAGAACATGCCTGAATGCACTTTAAAACCTAGATTTGTGTAATTGCGTTTTTATCATTAATTAAACATGTTAATATTAATGTGAAATTAATATAAAATTGAAGTTAAAGATTTGGATTAAATAATTAAAAAAAAAAAAAATACTGCAGGATTAGTAACAAAGTTGCACATTTCAAGCTGGGCAAGCTAGTTTGGCACCACATATTGGTTTGTAGAAAAAAAAAGTTCCCTTTTCTTGTTAAAGTGTTGAATGGTTTGATGATTGTAAAATGAACACAATTTATGTGAAAATATACACTACAGTTAAGTACACCACAATTTTTAAAATGTTTAAAGGCTGCATTTATTTGATCTAAAATAAAGTAAAACGTTATGAAATGTTCCAATTTAAAATAAGATTTCTATTTTAATATGTTTTAAAATGTAACTTATTCTTGTGATGGAAAAGCTGAACTTTTAGCAGCCAGTCTTCAATTTGATTTAATGCATCCTTGCTGAATAAAAGTTTTAATTTCAATAAATTGATTACCGAAAAATCTCCAAACTTTTGAGCGGTGATGTATAAATAAGGAATTATTTACTTGTCTGCTGTGTTGGAGGTTGTGAGAAAACTGTGGGACAGAGTTAAATGCATTTTAATAAAATTAAGAACTAAAATATTTATTCATTTCTACAGTTAACTGTTGTTTGGAGGGGGGCTTAGAGGCAATCGATGTGTTGAAGATTAACATAACATGAAAAGTACATTTAACCAAATTTGTTTAAGCTGATACTAAGCCATCACAGAGTTATTGCTCCAAAGAACATGAGATTTGTGTTTTTGTAAGCAATTGTAAAATGTGATTCCATGTCTAACAGGGCCCACAGCAGAAAGTTCAGTCAATGGAACATATCTGGAAATTTCCCCTGCACGGCCATAGCTGAGACACAGAGAGGATTTTCACACAGGTTGGTGATGTGATTCATCACAAAGCATTCTGCCATGAGTCTGTAACAGTGGATGCCATAAATGCCTCTGTTCCAAAGAGCTACAGTACATCCAGAAAAGCAAATCCATGAGTGACTGTATCTGGATGCGTTCTCATATCATTCCTACTTGGATAAATTATATAGGGTGTTCTTTGAATGACCCATAAATGTATTTTTCTGCTTCATCAATAGGACAACCCAAATCTACAGTGTCCTCTGTCCTTCATACTACCTACAGCACGCACACATGGATCTCCAAGAAGATCTCATAGACCGGGACATCATTCTGACTGTACTGCTCCCAGGAGGACAGGAGACCACAGCCACAGTGCATGGCAGGTGAGCGAGAGGGGAAAAATAACTCTTATTGCACATTATCAACCAATTCTTGCACTAAAATGACTGTCCGGTCATATTTTGAATGACTTGTGTCTGTGCACTTGCAGTAAACCAGTTATGGATGTTTTGGTTACACTGTGTGCTCAACAACATCTCGTTCCATCGGATCATGCCATTAAGCTTATTTCCACAAATCAAAACCACATAAATTTCAAACCCAACTCCATGATTGGCTCTCTTGAGTTTGAAAGAGTTGTCCTGCAAACTAAAGGATGTGATAACAAGAAGAAACCTCATGTTCCTGTGGTAAGTCTAATTGAAAGCTTAATTATATCCATATCTTATAATTTTACCTTAATTACCATATCATCTTAAAATTAAATTTTTTAAGTGGGTTTTGTCAAATCTCAAGCAGTTAATCAAGGGATTTGGACCTTTTTGGTGCATAAAACGAGTGTATCTTATACATTTCATAGTAGGTCACCCAGGTTGGGCACAGGGTCTGCCTTAAGTCACATTGAACCTGTTATTAAAAGTTTGAACTCTCAAAAAATTGGCAACTCTCTCAAAACAGGCAACAGTTCGTCTTCTGGTAAACTACAAGAAGTCTCATAAGGCAGTAGTACGAGTCAATCCTACAGTGCCGCTGGCTGAGCTGATGGCCACAGTGTGTGAGAAGTGTGAGTTCGACCCCGATGCCACCATCTTACTGAGGACATATCAATCAGAGGAACGTCTGGATCTCACCAAAACACTCAATGACTATGGAATCAGGGAGCTGTATGCCAAAGACATTAAAGGTTAGAAAAAGAAAAAAAAAATGTCACTTTAGTGACATTGTGGCAATGTTGCTTACTGTATCATTAATTTAAAAACGACATACAATGTGCAGTACATAATGTGTGTTTAGTACACAATATAGGTCTCATTCAATAATAATTGCATGAATTATTCAATAAATTTGTGATGAAATTACACCTAATTTGCACATTTTCATGTGCATAGGCACGTGAATTTGTTTTTAATCTCATTATGTTCATGAGTTTGGAATATCACAAATGAGTGACTGCAATTCTCATTTGCATAAAACACACCCAAACCATCTCCATATTCTGCTTACTACACAACCTTTTAGGCCATGCAGTTGCTAAAATTTTTTTTATTGTAATTAACTGTATGAAAGTTATAATCATAATTTATGAAAATGTTCATATGTAGATTTGTACATGTATAGATATGTACACACAAATTCATAACAATTCACACAGTTAGTGAATGAGACCCTATGTTTGATTTTTGAACGAGGCATCTGTCAGACCCATATTTAAATATATAAATGGAGTAATATTAATCTTTTGAAGTTAGGTAGATTTTTTTTTTTTTGAGTGGTACCAAACAATCCTGCTGTTCCTGTGTTAACCCATAAAGGTACCGAACTCCAAACAACCACATTTTGTAACAAAAAAAATATTTTTATATAATGGTACTGCACCAGCAATTTCCGCACCGCTGAGGTTTGTCCACAAAAGCTTGTTTGATCTAAGAGGCTCTTTTGTGTTTGTCCAGGTGGTGAGGAAGAACAGAAATCCTCAGTTAAAGAAAAGAACCACAGAGAGAAGGGAAACAAAGGTTTCTTTGGTTTATTCAAGAAGAACAAGAAAACACCTGAGCAGGTTTGTACACCTGTCAGTCTGTCTGGTTTTGCAATCTGTGCAACCTGCTGGTTGTCATATTTAGGAAATGAGGGGAAATATCATAACCGAACTGTAACCTTGTAAAACACTTGTGCTGGTCCACCCATCTGTCTCTGCATCTGTTTATCTTTCGGCTTTCCTATGCATCTGTTTATCTTGCCTCATGTTTATGGACATTAATTCAGTTTGCATATTGAAAAAATAGTTCTTTTTTGGTAATGTTCGACTCCTTTAAACATATTCAGTGATTTATTTTTTTCCCCCTCTTCTTCTACAGGCTGTGATTGGCAGTGCTCCAAACTCTCCTGAACAGAACGGCCAATGTGCGGACAGGGTGAATGGTGTTAACGGTCACTCAGCCTTACCCATGGCCCCTGCCGACATGTCAAAGAAGAGACGCGCTCCACGGCCTCCTATGACGGCGTCCCAGAGTGCCGCTTGTGGGCATCACACCAGAGACTTTTCTGACCTATCTGAGAGTGACTCTGCTAGAAAACAGGTGGGACTGCTGTGGGCATCTCCATACCAGTCCAAACAAACCTGTACCCTTGGCCATCCAATATTCATATAAGCATGCATCAGTGTAGTTTTAGTATTATTTGTATACTATTATAGTATTTATTGATATTTTGAATTAGCCTTTGTTTACATTTCCAGTTTTCATTTTAATTTTAGTATTTATTTTCTTGTGCTTTGGTCATTATTATTGTTTTTTTTTTTAAATATTCCTATTTAGCTTTAATTTATTATTTTTAAAATCGTTTTAGTATTGCACGTTCTTCATCTAATATTTATTTTATTTCAGCTTTATTTCAATTAAATTGAATTAAATTAAAATTTTACAATAACAACAGTGGCATGCAGGAATGTGGAGTTCTACTGATCAGAATCCAGTTTTATAGTTAAATGGTAGTATAATTATTAAAATAAAATGGTATGTACATGTATGGTTCTGAGGCATGTTTTGAATGGCATGCTATTTTTCTGCAGTGTATATATATATTGTCCATAATATTCCAATTTTCTTTGTGCTTGGAATACTATATATACCTACTTCATTTTCAAAAAATATAGTATAGAACAAAAAAAAAAAATTATTACTATATCCCACAGTGCAATGCGCTGTAGCTTGACCCTCGATGTGCACTGTTACGAGTGAGCTTGTAATAACAGTTGAAATTTTTTACGTTATATTTTACTCATTATTTGGTTGTCAAAAGTTAATACATTTTCAAACAGAATTTAATTTTCTTAACAATAAATTAAACAACTGGCAACTTTGCTGAATTTAATAAGCGATGTAATGAGGTTATGCGAAAACTACAGCATATTCTTTAAAATTGCATAATGCATACTGTAACAATAAATTAAACAACTGGCAACTTTGCTGAATTTAATAAGCGATGTAATGAGGTTATGCGAAAACTACAGCATATTATTCTTTAAAATTGCATAATGCATACTGTTTTTTTTTAATTTACTGTTTAAGTATTTACTGTGCAATATGCATTAAGCAGTATGTTAGTATTTTATACCAAACATAACCTCTTTGTGCCTTGCTCAGGGTCAGCTCAGTTGTATCTCTTCCACTGAGTCCTCCCTTAAAAGGACTAAACGGAGAGCTCCGCCCCCTCCGTGTGATGGCCCCACCCCATCTGATTCAGATAAAAAAGGTACACATTTATTTTTGTTCATAAGTGTTCTTTCTTTTCGTTTTCTATGTTTAAGCATTTTTGAATACTTGTTTGCATGCTAGTGCTGGTTTCCTAGATGCCAAGTACATGCAATTTCAGCACAGAATCAAGCTTGAACAAATGTGAAAATGAATACTACCTTTCTGTTTCCCAACTGTGTTGGATTAATTATTTGCTCTTGTTTTACACTGTACTACCAGGAGGGGGAGCCTAACAGGCAGCGCAGTCTCCTTTCCTCCTCTTCTCCTCCATGCATGCTTCTCTGTTCCTGCTTTCATCGGTGATGGGCTATTTGTCCTCAGTGTCTTTACATAACCTTCATGTCTTATGCACATTGCACTGAACTCTGTGTCTTGTTCTGTTATTTAACTGGCTTCCTTGTTTAATGTCACTGTTGCTTGAAACTGTAATGTGATATATCTTTCACCTTGTTAGTATAAACATAATGTAGTATTCTAGAGGAAGTAACACACTCAGGTCAATAACAGTCAGTGTCAATTTATGCCGTAGACAAATGGGTTTCATTGTAGTGTTTGTATGTTTTAGTTTTTTTATTGTAAAGTCATTTCAGTGTTTGTCAGGCAAATCTGTAGCACTTTATCACAATATTTGTGCCTTAATTTTGAGCCACAGCTCCCAAGATGGTTGTAATCAGTCTTTGATATTTTTATCTACATAATTGCAGTTCAGCTTTATTAAATGTCAATGACTTTTTTTTAATATGTCGGGGTCATAAGGGATGCTTTTAAGAATTTGTCTAAAATTATTCAAACGTAAGAAATTCCAAATGAATTCATCGGCCACATCCAACATTTTTAATTAAACCTGTTTCGTTTTATCATTTTGCTTTTTGTTTATTAACATTCTGTGTGCTTGTCTTTTGTGTTCTTTTTCTTCAGACAGAATTTCATTAATTGTTATTTAATATATTAAATGTATTTCATTCATTGAATTTTTTTTGCCAAATTAACTTTTTAAATAAAGTTTACTAATGTTGATTCATATTTGAATAAATTAAATGAAAGTACATACTGTACACTGCTGTGTGTTTTGCCAAGGTGCTATATTAGTGAGAGGTTGCAGATGAGATGGTTTTACACACAATACACTCATTAAAACACTACAGCATCTTTGTCATAACACTTGTTTCGCTTCAGTAGAGGATGCTCAAGGGGACGACAAGAGTTCAGACAAATACAGAGCTCGCATTGCTGGCCACTGCCCTGCAATCGTTAAAGTTATGAGTGAACTTGCAGAATCTCTGCAGGCACGGCAACAGAGAAAGCTATCTCCTGCAAAGTATGTTCATTTTGTTGAATTCATTTCTTAATTTTTCACTGTTCCCTGCTTGTGTTCTTGAAGTAACTGATTACTGATTTCTTCTCATTTTCCTCTGTAGTTCTTCTATATCCCAGCATCAGCTAGCAGACGATTCTTCTACGGGTTTGTTTTCTGAGCATCACACCCCTGAGGCTGAGCTTAAGGCACTTTCTGGCTGTCAGCTGCTGAGAAACCCCTCTGAGAGAGAAGGTTTGACCACCTTCACCGTGGTTCCCCAGAGACGTCAGCAGAGCAGGCAATGTTTTGAGGTGTCACTAACCTTACAGACACCCGACACTGCTAAAGCCGAACAAGAGCTGTGCCCTGGAGACCCAGATGCACTTGAGATCCCCACCACAGAGCTTTTGGAAACCGTCCCAACTGAACCTTTTAGAAATGGGTGCAAGGGTTCAGATAAAAGCAAGCACTTGCCAGAGGTTCTACATCTTCAGCCTGTGGAGCAAGAGAATCAAGCTTGGACAGATGTAGAGAGTGAGAATTTGGAACTTAAAGATGAAGAGGACCAATGTATTGATCCAGAAGACATGGAGCTAGAGAGTTCAGAATCACCCCTAAGAGGTCTTGGTAATCTAGAACATTTAGGCAGTACGATGAATAATCTAGAACTAAAAGGCAAATGGGCTTATCCTTCGGAACCAGCTGATAAACTTGCTGACAGGTCACCAATCGATCCAAAGTCAGGCCCTGTGGAGCAAGAGGAGATGGAAGAACATGCTTTGGTGGAAACTGGAGAAGAAAAAGATTGGGTAGAAGAATACAAAGAGAGGAGAAGGAAGTTTCTAGGCGGTGGTGGCTATAATGATGGTTTGAAAAAATTAGATGTTTGGGGAAGGATTCAAAGAGAATGTACAAACATGCAAGAAGAGACAACAATGCCAGAAATGAACTTCCCATTACCTCCAACACCTGTCTACTGGGATGACAATAATAGTGAAAATGAAGAGGATGAAGAAAACAGGAGCGCGCAGGAAATGCAGACCTATGATGAAGACCTTGATCAATATGCAAACTTGGACTCAAAGCCCAAATATGCACCTTATCTGCACTACTCCAAACCGAAGTCTCACTCTACCCAAACTAACAGTGATCCAGGCGCCTCTAGTGCTGAAAAGAACTGCAGCTCGAATCCAGAACCTCATAGAACCTCCTTTTTATCTAAATCGCATTCAAGCTTTGACCCCTGCCCTCCTGCAACAGTGTCTCTTTTCGCTTTGGCTGTATTTCAGAAAGCTACGCGCTCCAAACTAGGGCTGGATCCTAACTGCTCCAGGAGACGGGAGCTGCCCATGAACACACACAGTGAGTAAACTGATCGAAGACATCACTGAAATATCAATAGAAGGTTATTAATATTAATGAGAGGGTCAACATTTTTGTTTGTTGTCAATTACAGAGAGTAATTGCCAAATTACATTGATGCCACTGCATTGTCAACAGCTTTTTGGGCTGAAACATACACTACCAATCCAAACTATATACACACACACACACACACACACACACACACACACATATATATATATATATACATATACATATACACATACATATATATATTTATATATATATATATATATATATATACACACACATTTACATTGTCATTTAACAGACGCTTTTATCCAAAGCGACTTATCTACATGTTGTCTTTTGTATTTTTGAGCTTAAATAAATAACATTTGTTCGTAAACTTCAAGCAAAATATGTCATCATTCCGATTTAGAGAAAAATATAATAGCAAAGACCGAGTGGGAGGTGCTGTGTTAAATGAATAGTTCACCCAAAATTGATCATTTGCTTTAAAAAATGGCCCCCCCGTTAGTCCATTCAAGATGAAGATGAGTTTCCTTCGTCATGACTGATTTTTGAGAAATGTATTACATCACTTGGTCACCAGTGGATCCTCTGCAGCGAATGAGTGCTGTCAGAATGAGAGTCCAAAGAGCTGATAAAAACATTGTAATAATTCACAAGTAATCCACATAACTCCAGTCAAAAAAGAAAAAATTCCAAAAAGCACCATAAAGTGATTCATGTAATAATTTACTGAATATATTGCTGTCCATCATAGCTCCATTCTAATGTACTTTCCATATTAAAACGGCAAAAAGCATGCAACCATGATGGTAAAATGTTGTGAACTAAGAAATCCTGAGTGATTGTTATCACATTGCTAGAGTCACATACACATACATATATATATATATATACATATACATATACACATACATATATATATTTATATATATATATATATATATATATACACACACATTTACATTGTCATTTAACAGACGCTTTTATCCAAAGCGACTTACAAACGAGGACAATGGAAGCAATCAAAATCAACAAAAGAGCTATATATATTATATATATAATATTGATAAATGTTGAGCAGCAAATCAGCATATTAGAATGATTTCTGACGGATCATGTGACTCTGAAGACTGGAGTAATGATGCTGAAAATTCAGCTTTGCCAATTACATTTTAACATCAATTAAAATAGAAAAGATATTTTCAATTGTAATAATACAGTATTTCACAGTATTTGTGTTTTTACTGTATTTTTGATCAAGTAAAGGCCGCCAGTGAGCGTTTGGGACAGTAACGTAGTTTATCTTTTGTTGCCTGACCGGAAACATAACAGGATGAAAAGAACGTATAGGCGTCTTCCAGATGTGTTGGTTACTTCATTGTCGCAAGGGCAAGGTGTGTCTGGGTCAGCTGAGTTATGTATGTGTAGTTTGTAATGTAAATGATGTCTGACACTCATAATAGTCTCTTGTTTATTTAATAGGCATCTTCCTTCCTCTAAGCATGTTTTTGTGTGCGTTGCACGTTTATAGTTTAAACTTTGACGCATTCCAGCAGTCATGGCGTGAGTATGAGGTGTTTTGTATGTCAATGAAAATTACTTTTTGAAATGACTCCATCTAATGACACCTCAACAAAATGGGTAACTTCCATCACTGATGATGGAGTAAGTGTATGTTCAGTGTACAACAATGTACTGCATGTGGCTTCCTGAATGACTGACGTGTGCTAAAAATGGACCTGGCTCTGGCTTTCAAACCTGGCTCCAGAAAATATAGAGCTGCTGGTAAGAGTCTTGCAGAACGATGGGACTCACTATGGTGTCTTGCTTTTTTCCAGGTAATTGATGGCCAGTCTGAATATGGGAGTGTTCATAAATGAGGAAGAGGGGTTCTTCACCAGAATGAACAGGACACACTATATTAAAACGACACCGGTTTCTTACAAGATTATCTGATTCTGTGTTTTTAGCATTATGAATATTTTGGAGGATGATAAATATTTTGAAAGCTTTACTTGCATTTTCCTGTTTTGTTGACTGATTTCACTGATGCTTTCAGAAAGGAGGATTTTTCCGGCCTTTTAATT